TTTTTCTTGGGGAGGCAGGATTAACGATGAGAGAAGGGAATGGAATTCTGTGTGTGGAGGGAAGAAGGAAATGAGTGGAAGTTTGGGTGAAGGCTCAAAGTACCTGAAGTATTGTTTGGGGAGGAGGAGGGTTTAGCAGGGATGTACTGTAGATGTGGAGGGAAGGAAAGATGCGTGAAGAAAGCATGGAGTGGAACTGGCCACTTTTTATTACACTCTGGTATTTGAAAGACTTGCCTATGTGCATAACGAGACACAAAGAGAGGCTGGCAGGGCTTTTCTGCTTTGTGGAGTCATACAATTCCTATAGCTGGTCATGTAGGTTGCTTCTCCTACCTTCCTCTGTGCTCTGAAGAATATAAATATACACCCAGCTGGTCCATACTAAACACCAGTGGGCAGTGAAGTGACTTTCCTGTTTTCATCCTGACACGAGAGGTGTGTGTATGCGAGGGACACTGATATGAAAGAACCTGTATCCACAAAAAGCTAAGTCATGTATTTTTACTAAGGTAGCACTTCTCAAATCTTACATCAAGTGATATGAGAACCTATGCAGAATACAATGTAAATAGCATAATTTCTTCTTCCCATAATTTATTTCTGTTCCATTTGCCTGCTGCACTGTAGGATTGCATTCAGATTACATGCACTGTGAAGTGAAAGCTTCAGCAATGTTAAGTTAATCAAGACATACAGATACAAAAATACTGCATTTAATCTGCAATCTTGGGTTATTTAGGACAAAAGTGGAAATACATAGGTCGTTAGTGCAGATGTAAAGCTTGTAAAGCTATAACAAACCCTTCTGGGGTCTAAATATGTATTTATCACGTTGATTTGTTCACTATAATGGGGTTTGTCAGTTTGGTGTGTCAGAATAATGAAAGGTCCAATTCAACAAAAAATGTTACTCAACAGAAATTACTTCACATTGCTTATTATCACATTTTGTTTCTAATAAATAAAAGAAATGTACAAATGTGTGGTAAGTATGGCTTGTACTGACACAAGTAAGAAAAATACAATTGTATCCAAGCATGTATCTTATGTTTACTTAAGTATGATTCTTAGTATTAAAATGATTATGGATGTGGGTTGCTTGTTACACTGAAGCTAAACTGTAGTTTAAAATTAAATAGAACTATGTGAAATGTGTGCAGAGTTTTAAATGCACGTTCTCCTACCCTGACTTCTCTGCTGTGTCATGTTAGAATACATAGAGGGATACAAATTTTACTTTTGTCTAATGAGTTGCTTAAGTGGATGTGAATGTATAAAAATCTTAGGTTGAGAAATTACTTTAAACCGTATATTGTTGAATGTAACCACTCTATGATTGTCAGAGTGGAGAAGGAAGCATTTTTACTCTTTGAAACTGGTTTATATATTGCTCTGTTGTTATGGTTTAACCTGGTGGGCAGCTGAACACCACAGAGCTGCTTGCTCACTCCCAGCTCTGCCTCCCCACCCTACCCCCCCGCCAGTGGCATGGGGGAGAGAATCAGAAAAAAAAAAAGTTTAATAAAACAGTAGAGGAAAAAAAAGTAGTAATAATAGAATATACAAAACAAGTGATGCACAATGCAATTTCTCACCACCCACTGACCAATGCCCAGCCTGTCCCCCCGGCAGCGGTTGCTGCCCCCAGCCAACTCCCCCCAAGTTTCTAAACTGGGCATGATGCCATATGGTATGGAATAGCCCTTGGGCCAGTTGGGGTCAGCTGTCCTGGCTGTGCCCCCTCCCAGCTCCTTGTGCCCCTGGCAGAGCAGGGGAAGCTGAAATGTCCTCAACCTAGTGTAAGCCCCGCTTAGCAACAACGAAACCACCAGTGTGTTATCAACGTTATTCTCATACTGAATCCAAACTGCAGCACTATGCCAGCTACTAGGAACAAAGTTAAGTCTATCCCAGCTGAAGCCAAGATATTTGTATATTTTGTTGTGTGATATCCCCTAGGCTAGGGTGGGGATGGTGCTGTATTTCAGACTCTAGCATTTAGCCTGGACTAAATTTCGGGCCATCTTCAAGACCTGAAATATCAAGTCTTAAGTGAAAGGCTGTTGGGGGTTGTGGGCGTGGGATTCAGATCTTTAATCTCTTTTGTACAATGAGTAAGACTTCCAGTAGTAACCAGATTAACTGTACAGTCTGTACACAGTGTGCACAAATGTGTGTATTTAAATTTCTGTTATTTAGTCAACTCTTGCAGAAGAAAAATAATTTTTAGTCTTCAGGTTTTTAGATACCATTAAATTTTAAATACTGTTCTCATTGGAGTGTATTTCAATAGTTTTCTCTGAATTGCTCATATAAAAATCTTAAGTCCAAACTTACCTCCATCCACCTTTGCATTAATTGCACTATCTGGAATGTCAACAGAACTCATGAAGCTTAATTGTCAACTTTAATAGTTGTGGGTTGTGTGACTGAATGCTTTTGTAGCACATGTGGTAAAGCTGCTGTAGCTAAGTGCTTTAAATGAAATGCTGTACATAGTAGGACATGGTTCTTTCAGAAAGGATTCTGTTCATCCTCTCCTCATGTGTAGTAAATTTAACCCTGGTTTTTAAAAGGTGAAAACAAAATACACTTTCCCATCTGATTTCTTGTGGATTTTTTGTGGGTGACATGAGCAGCATAGCTGCCATTTGTTGATTTCTAGTTTGGAGCAGCACCTTCTTTATTTTTATCAGTAAGATCTTGTATGTAACAGCTATCACAGTGCACTGTAATAAGCTCATCTGTTTTACTTATCAGGGCTTAGGCTGGGTAATTTTTAAGTTCTCATCAGGAAAATTGCAGTAAGTAGCAACTTAAATAAGGAACATATTCCTGCCTTTGAGACATCTTTTAAAGTGATGTTAGGGTCCCAGTGTTTCTGGTCCTACTGTTATAAGATTCTCCTTTGTCTCTGGTTCCTTGGTGAATTCTTAGCAGAGTTGCTCTTTGGGATATAGCAAATTCCTTTGGGGAGGAGGGGATGGTTCTTGTGTGTAGCTATTTATTAGTAGTTCAGCAAATCAGTTGCATCTACTGCTTTAGATAGTGATATTCCTGTTTTGCTGTATTCCTAGTTTGCAATTAAAACAGCCAGCCAGTTTCAGTTTTGCTGCTTAACTTCTGGTACTTGCATCTACTTCTAATGGCATGTTTTTTCTAATACGGTTGATGTCCACCTCTTTCCTTTTCCTTTCTTCATCTCTCCCTCCATCCCACTTGATAGCAGTTTATTTAGTCAAAAAAATCCGTAATGTTTCCTTACACTGAAGACCTACCCCTTTAAAAATGGTGAAGACATTCAGAAAACACAACTTGGGAATGTATTGTTTACTTCTACAAACTTGCCAATGAATGTACTTGCTCTAAAATACTGACTTAATTTAAAATTGCAGTTTCTACAACTAGCGGGGTAAAGTATCTTGTGTGAGCAGGAAAGTCCTTTTAAAATACTTGTTGCTTTGAAATACATGAGGAAAAAACTCCTCCTTTTGGAGGGATGCAGTTTTCTGTTTTGATTAGCGCTGTTTACTGTTTAAACTATTGTAAGGAGTCAGGCTAAACAGAATTGCCTTAAGCCACTGGGGTCTGTCTTCATAGGATCTAAAGAAACCTCCATTGGGCCTGTGGTGCTTTACCTCTGTAGATGCCACCTTGGAACCATGATTCTTTTTTTCTTGCCAGGTTT